GTTGAACAACTTTTTACTTCTATATGTTGGACAATACCAAGTTATGATCAATTTTATATTATGTGGTATCTCTTGTGTAGTTCAGAACTAGTACAATATGCTGCTATAATTGCTTTTACGCACCAAAAGGAAGGTCGTAGGCCAAAAAAAAGTTTTCAAATTTTGAATACGCGGTCTTGAATTCCTAGGCCCGCCCTGCTTCAGAAGACTAACATCTCTTCCTTTTTTACGTAGACAATTCTTCTGTTCTCTTCGGCTACCTTTTGTAGACAAGGCCAGAAGTGATCATCGAAATTACAAACTTGCTCAAGCATATTCACTAAACAACCACCCGTACCTATAGTGATCCCTTCCTTTCAATTTAATTAATCATATTATTTCGTCGCACACTAAGAATTGTTGCTCTTTCCAAAGAGACTATTTTTTGAGTTTGGTTTCATATATCACATGGTTAACTTTTTTATTTTGTAGGGAGTAACCGAAAATTGTCTTGATTGAAAAGATGTATTTTTATCTGAATCAAGCTCATCTATTCATGTTTGATAAATTGCACCTATATCCGGATCAAAAGGCTTACTCATACTTCCGCAGCAACGCGCGGGGTATCATCTAGTTTAGTTAGTGTTCACATTTTTTTTCTTTCCCTACATTAAAAAATGATCGACTTGAGTTTATTCTGGATGATTACACTTTTTTACCCCTCACGAGTTCTATCGATTTTACAGAAAGATACTCATAGTTCTCATTTCCATATTTTCATATCCAAAATTTTAGGATTTCACGCACCATCTTTTCAGCTCCTCACGTATACTACAATTTTTGTTGAAAGGTCCTCATAATTTTTCATTCAGCTATCTGAGGATGCACGACGCTCATTTGTGTTCAGGTTTCCTCCTTTTTGACGATTCATGTGTTTTCTTTTCTTTTTGAAACGACATTCATTAAGAAAAGAGTTGCTTGGTTAATTAGACCATATATATATATATATATACAATGTTGTGTCTCACTTTATTCAGATGGCACTTGATGACTCTACCATGGTTGCCTCCACCGTGTTTGAGCAGAGCATGAACTTTAATCTCCCAACATTTCAAAACATGGCTAAGGAAAAAAAATGATTGCTATAACAAGCACATCCCTGTACTGACTTCTCCGTCGCAAGGTTCAGAGGGGCATTCCTGTACTGGCCTCTCCGCTTGTAAGGTTCAGAGGAGAGCCATAGAGATCCTTCTATTGGTCAGGCTCGGGGCTACATAATTATTCATAAATCCTAGAGTCACCATAGAAGTTGCATCCACCGACCACTCAATCTTGCCCGGGGCCGGGGCTACTTCAGCGTACACAACACCTGCGCGACTTTGGGTGTCAAAACAGGCTAACAACCACCACATGTCTTTCATTTGCGTTTGCGACCTCATGCGCAAGCCAGACTCAAACAGAGGCTCCCTACGTCACAAAACCAGAGCTCGCGGCATGGTTGATCGGGGGTCATTCTACTAAACAAAATAAAAATAGAACAAATGCATTCATAAAAGCAAAAACACATACACTATATCAGGCTCCCTCTGAAGAGTCATTTAAATCTTCCACAAACCGCCTTGAGATTTTTTGCAGGTCGCAGGCGCTAGCGGCGTACTCAGCCTCTCCAGCGACCTACTCGAAGTTGCTCTTTATTTTGCGCTCACCTGGGTCTCCCGGACGAGGGAACGAACGCCATCGTGGAATAGCGGGATCTCATGCCAGCTAGCACCTAGCGGGCTCCTTCATAAGCATCAGACACTTGCTAGTCCATCAAGTAGACAGAAGCTCGCTACAACAATTCCACCGCACCTTGAAGATCGCCCCACAGGTCAGGGGCAAATCCTAAACGCGGTTCGTAGCGCCCGTTTCTTCGATTTTCACAAACGGGCGCACACCCGTGCAGCATGCTGGGTCGGCCCGTCTTGCATTTTTTTTTCATTCAAATCTGAAGCAAAAAAGGGTGTGCACACGGGGATTGAAACTCATTATCTTCTTTTATTTTTTTCACTAGGTCGCGAGAGCTTTAGAGCCTATATAATTTTTTATTTTTAATCGAAGACCTTTTTTTTCTTCAAAACCGATGAACTTATTTTCCAAAATCCACGAACATTTTCTAGATTCATCAACTATTTTCAAATTCGGTGAACTTTTTTCAAGTTTCTGAACTTTTCTTACAAAATCGATTGAATTTTTTTAAATTTTTTGAACCGTTTTCTAATTCGACGAAAAAAGTTCACCGAATTTTATGAATATTTCTTCAAATTCGGTAAACCTCTTTAAAAGTCGATGTACTTATCTAAAAATCAGTGAACTTTTTTCAAATTCATGAACTTTTTTTGAAACCGATGAACTATTTTCAAAATTATTGATTTTTTTTCAAATTTGATGAACTTTTTTCAAATTTGATCAACTTTTTTCAAAATCAATGATTTTTTTAATTCCAAGATCTTTGTTCAGAATTACTATTTTTTCTGTAATTCATGAACTTTTTCCGAAAGGTTTTCAAATAATTGAAAAATCAAAGATCTACAATAATTGTTACATGTGCAATAAATTGCGCGGCTATAAATGTTCCTAATTAATTTGCCCTTGAATTGGTCACTAGCATGTTGGTCAGGTGGTTAGCCATACTTTTTTTAGGGGTAAAGCACATCTTTATTCATCAAAGTCCACACGCAGTGGGATACGTCTTTGGTCATAGGGCTGGCCAAACCACACATGGCGTCCCAGACCTCTTGACAAAGCAAATTTAGCTAAGTTATGTGCTTCATAGTTTGCAGCACGACTCTCGAAAGTAAAAATACAATGAAAGGTAGAAGCTCTATGATTTATCTCGCTTATAATTGATGCATATCCTCCTCTTGTACCCGTGTTGATGTCCTGGATCACCTGTCGGCAATCTGAAGCAATAACAAAATCTCTGATATTGAGGTCCTCCGCCAGCGCCAGTGCCTCGCGACACGCGATCGCTTCCAGAGTGGCTGAATCGAGGGTTCCTTCAGTGACCAGAGCCGAACCACCAACATAGCTACCACTCTCATCCCTGCATACCGCCGCCGCCAAACCCCCACGTGATCGAACCGCTGCATCGACGTGGATTTTGCAAAATCCTGGTGGTGGTCGTTTTGGTCTTTGATGTTGCCCTGCTGGGGTCCCGGTGGCTATCCTGGACCGTTGTTGCTTATTGCTCAGGACTCCTAGTTCATCGGTAAAACGTTGGACGAACATGTGTGTCGCTTGGGGGCTCTGGAAAATTCCCTCATGAATGGCCTTTCGACGAGCATGCCATATTGACCATAAGGTGACCGTCAAGAGTATGAACTTGTCATGGGAAAGCAATTCCATCAAGGTGAATAACCAATTCTTAGCATTGGGCTCTGTTGTAGCTGTGATTTTATGTGTTACCGCTTCGTCTGTCAAGGCCCATATACTCCGTGAGGATGAGCACTCCAACAGCGAGTGGCGCCACGAATCTTGAACTCCGCACAAGCCACACTGTCCCGAATCTGTCATGTGCCGATATGCACGGACATCATTCGTTGGCAGAGACTATTTTGAGAGTCTCCATAGAAGCATGCGGATCTTACCCGGGACGTTAGTTTTCCAAAGAGATTTCCATGATCCCTCCGCTGCTCTAGAACTTGACGGACCCGCCGTTCCTTCTAACCAAGCCTCCCTCCTCTGTCTTGTTGCTATCAGCATGTTGTATGCAGATTTAACAGAGAAGTTCCCTTTTTTGTCATAGTGCCAGGCCCAAAAATCTGGCATATTACGAGTACATAGCGGGATTCCCAGTATTACTTGAGCATCCATTCGCATAAACGTCGCCGTGACAAGTTCCTTGTTCCAGGCTGCTGTGGTGGGTTCTATGAGTTCCGAGACCATGATGGGGCGGTGGGTTGTTAAACAACCGTATGGTGGAAGCATTGCATCACGTGGTAGCCAATACGTGGTTAGCCAAACTTAAATGTTGTGTCACGGCGGCGTTGCCAAGCGCGACATGCGCATTCGCAGACAAAATTGGGCCATGTATGTATGGGCCAACGCTACAAGTTGAGACGGAGACCGGCCGAAAGAAGCTTGTAATTAGCCCGTGGGCTCATGGGCCTTGTGCTTGTAATAAGCGTCGTGTACTGCCTGTGGAAGGAAACGAGGCAAGAAGAAGCACACGGCGAAGCCCTAGCTAGATTCCGCCGCCGCCGCCGCCGCCGCCGCCGGCTCTAATAAACCTGTCGAACCTGATGGCGCTGCGCTCTCTTGTTAGAAAGATGCCGGCCCTGGGTCTCAGGCCGCCGCCGACGGCCAACCTTATGGGTCCCGTCCGGGCGCTGTCGCCGGCGGCGGGTTCTCGGCTCATGTCCCATGGGGCTCCGGTAAGCACCTCACCTTACTTCCTAATTCGATTCCATCTGATTTGTTGCAAACCAACTTGCCTCGTTTCATCTATCAAATCAATCACCGTTGTATCTTTGTTGGCTGTCTCGATGGTGGAATTATTTTCGATAAGATTCGACTGTTAGAGAAAGTTACTATTAGGAGTTATTTAGGCGATTTATTCAGATTTTACATAGTAGTCCCTCCGTAAACTAATATAAGAGTGTTTACATCACTAGTTTAGTGATCTAAATGCTCTTATATTAGTTTACAGAGGGAGTACAATTTTTGGGAACTATTGGATCTTCATCCTGAGCCTAACGCGTTAGGTGCGTGATTTGCTCACTCCTTTGCGGTTTGTGAGATTCTATTATTTTCCTTAAATTGTAGGCAATCGATCGCTTGTGCGCGGAGATCTATTCTGAAGACGAGATGGCTAGGGTTCGGGAGGAAATAAATCGCCTGCGCGCGGAGACTGACCAGAACCGCATAGAGTTAAAAAAGCAGGACGCTGAGGGGTTGAAGATGATTGAGATGACCCAACAAGTCATGGACGCAGCTGAAGCTTCTTATAATGAAGCCGCCAGGTAAATGCTAAATTTTACCAATAACACAACATTCCTCTTTTCATTACAAAGTTGTTTTGTGAACTGTACAGCGTTAGGACTTAAATTTTGTCATAACAGTCTTTTACTCTTCTTCACTGCAACGTCGATGCTATCTATTATGATGATCAGAAATATTTTCTGTTTGTTGAGACCACACATAGGGTGCTCTTTCTCTGAAAAAAGATTTGCATCATCCATTAATTGAAGAGAGCTGCCCAATTAATGAACGGAAAACAAGGCTAAAACTGTCTAATCCATGCTTTTAAGTTAACTACGCCCATGGTCTTTTCTTCTAGAATGTATGGTTGATTGTTATCCGTTAATAAAAAAATTATTAACGACAATGCTCGAAGTCATCAGCTTTTAATTCTCCAAAACTGATGGTTCAGACAGAACCGTATGTTAACGAAAATTCAGTCTGTTTTGTGGCATATGGCCAACCAAAATCACTTGCCTCTTGAGTATATCTGATGATTGAAAATTAGGTTGTTTTTTCGCATATTGACAACCGAGATGCCTCGTGGTGAGCTCTTAGCTTATTTGAGCATACAATATGGTTATAAATATCTTTTATGTTTAGCTATGAGTATGTAGCCTTATATTTACATGATATTCCTACCCTATTCTTATCTATTTTTAAAAGGGAAACTTTATTATTGTAAGGCTCATCTAATATTTCATGCATGTGCAGGCATAATACTGAAGCCATTAAAAGCATAATGGAAGATTTTCGGAAAATAGACAAGGCATGTGACGTTGTTCTCATTAGCTGTCCGCTGCTGATTATCCTTATGGCCATGGCTATGTAGTAACTTCAGCATGCGATGTGCCGCTGGATTTTATTTATGGTCTGTGCATGTTTGGCTGTTGGCAATTGGAAGAGACCTGTTTGTTAAGCACCTGTCTGTATATAGTTCATATGTGTGTCTATATATATTGATTTGCTCTTTCCGTTGTCACGGCTAGCTTTGAAAACTGTCGCTTGTCTACCTCTGTTCCACGGCAGCACATCACACAAATCAGTGCATGGAGCCTGGCTTAAAAACCTGAAATGTAGACCTAGCTATGATGTTGAATTATTATTTTTCATCAAAACAAAGCTCATGAACAAGGCCCTACCTCTGGAAACTTACGGCAAGTTCATGTTCTCTGAGTCTGTGCTTCTCTGTTTGTCGGGTGCTATTGGGCTGCACCTCTTTCCCTGCTTTTCGAAATTATTTTTGTCATGCCATGGGTCGCGCCCTGCTTTGTAATGGGATTGATGCTGTTGTTGTAATCTTCTGTGTTCTTGGAACAAATTAGAGCCAGGGTTAAATATTTCAATAAAAGCACATTGGAATTTTTGAAATTTTTCATATTTTAGTGTGGTCCAAAGTATTTCTAATCCTGAAATATTGAGCCAAGTTAAAACTAATTTTAAAATAAATTTAAATCAGGCTAGAATCCAATGAAATTTGAAATCTCAAAATCCGAAGTTTTGCATATTTCATTGATGCCTGAAATTGTTTTGTTTACTGAATTAAAAACATTGATCGGTGCCTAATTTTCCTGCTCTGTTCTTGGTCCTCGATTTGTGCTTAGTTTTCGACTGATCTGTCTACGCGGTAACCTCAACCAACAAATGATAAGTTGGTCCATGAGATGATTACCTCGAGCCTTTTTCGCTTGGGCGTGCAGTGTCTATAAAGGCTCGAGTGGGTGGTGGGTGCCCTTGAAAGGATTCATGAGCTTTACATATGACAGCTTCATCAGAAGATTTTGCAATGAACGCAAAGTACAGACGAGGACTAAACATTGGACCTGTGAAAATCTAGTATACAACCACTTTACATATGACAGCTTCATCAGAAGATTTTGCAATGAACGCAAAGTACAGACGAGGACTAAACATTGGACCAGTGAAAATTTAGTATACAACCACTTTACATATGACAGCTTCATCAGAAGATTTTTCAATGAACGCAAAGTACAGACGAGGACTAAACATTGGACCTGTGAAAATCTAGTATACAACCACTTTACATATGACAGCTTCATCAGAAGATTTTGCAATGAACACAAAGGACATACGAGGACTAAACATTGGACCTGTGAAAATCTAGTATACAACCACTTTACATATGACAGCTTCATCAGAAGATTTTGCAATGAACACAAAGGACATACGAGGACTAAACATTGGACCTGTGAAAATCTAGTATACAACCACTTTACATATGACAGCTTCATCAGAAGATTTTGCAATGAACACAAAGGACATACGAGGACTAAAACTAAAACATTGGACCTGCGAAAATCTAGTATACAACCACTGAACTGATTACCTAATCCTCCATCCGGCTAACCCTCGTTGCAGCAGCATTTTTATCATGCGGTACATGGAAACAAGTCATTTGGGGTCTGGAGTGATGATCACAAGCGCGCTATGAGAAACATTTCATGGTTCCCTGGTTTGGTTTCCTGGTTTGGTTTCCTGGTGATCATCACTGGTCCCCGGTTCCATTGCTCCGCCACTCCGATCTTCGTTGTTGGAGATCTTGAAGAGAAACATTTCATGGTTCCCTGGTTTCACCTGCTTGCAATGGAACCGGGGACTTGTCGCCCTCCCCGACAGTCTAAAAAAAATGAGAGAAGAGAAACATTTGGAGGACCTCAGCGCAAGCACATGATGGCATTACCGATCGGGGGAGGGGTGCAGGGGGAGAGATCCGTGCGAGTGGATCGGTTCCATTCACTTGCGCCGCCGCCCGCCGGGTGTATAGTCGATGATGCGCAGGCTGTGTTCCTGTTCAGCAGCGCGTGGCTATGGCGTCGAGGATGGGCGGCAAAATTCTACTACCTCCTTCCCAAATTATAGAACGTCTTACAATTTGGGAGAGAGGAAGTACTAGTCGTAGGATATGCAGTCACATCGATGATCCTTGGGCACAATTAAGCGCGAGAAATTGAAACAGACGAGCCGAAACCATGCATACAAAACCAACCCTGTAGCACCCAGAGACAACGCATTTTGACCAGGATAACAGTTCCTGCACAACAAGAGAGACTGATGCCATGCACCAGCTACAACCAATTATCAATTCTGCTCCGCTATAAGAAAATTAAAAAAAAATCATAAAGTTGAAACCACCCATTGTCATGCTCATATTCAATTTCACATGCCTACAAGAAATAAGCATCTCAATTGTCACATCACAACAATATCAGAGTTACAGATCTATGGCAGCGAGATATATTGTCACAGCACAACAAGAAACAAGGCTCGCAAGCGGAAAACTGAGAATTGGAGTGGAAAGAAAGACATTTATTATTTCATACATTACAACAGTTTGTTAAAAAAAAGCTTGAGGCGAGGCATCTTTTGCCGGATACTACAATTGAGGAGAAGAAAACATAAAACCAGCATGAATTGAACAGAAAAACATTTACTAATCAATAATCACATCAGTTGGGAAGCACACCCACTCCATAGAATATAATACTTGGCTCTTTCTACCATATAGGCAACATTGAATAATTCAAATAATTTGTTCTCACTACAACATTGGTGTAACTTACACACACCATTCTGACATATAAGATCAAAAGCTATAGTGAATTAGGTAAACCATATAGCCTTATAATAAACAGCAGATCAAACTTACAAAAGGGGGTTTGTCCAAATCCTACCCATGAAAAAAATATAGGTTGATTTCGGGGCTAGTGGCTACCAAGTTTCCATTTGGTAATAAAGTCCTGATAAACATGTTGAGAACAAAAATGAAGACCAACTATACCAGACTGCAAAGTAGCAAGCATATGCATTATTAGTATTTCTTGGTTAATTCTTCACACTGAAATCAATATGAAGAGCCTCAACAGAACGAGAAACTATAAGAGGCAAGGAAAAAATATGCTAGAAGAGCACAAGCTTCCAACTCAATGTGTACAACAGCACAAGGATTATACTGAGATACTGAGATAGTTCTATACACCTTAAGGAGAAATTCATAAACATGAAAATTGTTCTGGCCATCTAGATACAAGTACTTAACATTGATGGCCTTACGAATCAGTACAGCCAAAATAAAAAGGCTGCAAAAATAACAAAGGTTGAAAACTGGAATTCAATTGTTTCCTTTCCAGCAATGAGAGGAACCCAATCCATACTTCTTATATTCAAAAATCTAGCTAAAGGATTCCCCCCAGAGAAAGTCAACATATACTAACACAGGAAAATACACCACAATCTCCACAAACTGTAACCAGAAACAAGGTCATCACACATTGCACCATCCAGAATGCTAATTAAGCAAAATAACAGAGGAAAGTAAACTCTTCCCAGCTAAAAAGGGGTAAAGGTGAAGCCATTCATTCTCATGCTCATATTCAATTCTGCATACCGACCAGAAATAAGTATCTAGATTGTCACATCACAACAATATCCGAGTTAAAGATCTGTGCCAGCGCCATATACTGTCACGGCACAACAAGAAAAAAGGCTCGCAAGCTGAAAACTTAGTACTGGAGTGCAAAGAAAGACATTATTATTTCACACATTACAATGCGAATTCAACAGTTTCTTCAAAGCTTAAAAGATTGTTCTTGGCAAGACCATGGGCAACAAGCAACAAGGTGAGGCATCTTTTGCCAGATACTAATATGACTGGGGAAACACACCTCACTCCATATAATCATATACTTAGCTCTTTCTACCATAGTTAGCTAAATTGAATCATTCAAAGAATTTGTTCTCACTCAAACATTGGCATAGCTACCACACACCATACTGAAATAAGAGATCAAAAGCTATAATGAATTAGGTACACCCATAGCCTTATAATAAACAGCAGATAGAACTGATGAAAAAGGGTTTGTCCAAATCCTACCCATGAAATAGATTTGTAAGGGCTAGTGGCTACCAAGCTTCCATTTGGAAATAAAGTACTGATAAACATTTTGTGTTATACTAGCCTGCCAAGTAGCAAGCATGCATTATCTGAATTTCTTGGTTAATTCTACAAACACTGAAATCAACATGAACATCCTCAACAGAATGAGAAACTTGAAGAGGCAAGGAAAAATTGTGCTAGGAAAGCACAACCTTTCAGCTCAATGTGTACAATAACACAAGCCTTATGCTAAGTAAGATTGTGCTATAGAGAAATTCATAAACTTGAGAGTTGTTCTGGCCATCTAGATACAGAACAAAATGTCAAATTTAATGAGAATTAATCAAGTACCTAACGTTGATGGCCGTAGGAATCAGTACATGCAAGAATAACGAAGGTTGAAAACTTGAATTCAACAAATGATATGGCTCTGAATTTGGTTTTGTTTCCTTCCAGCAATGTTTCATTACTAAGGATGAAGGAGATGAAAATTTAATAGCAGCACAAATTGAAGAGAAGAACATCTACTAATCATATGACTTGGAAGCACAGCTCACTCTATAAAATCTAATGCTTGGCTCTTTATACCATAGTTAGCAACATTGAATCATTCAAAGAATTCCCACTCAAACATTGGCATAGCTTACCCACACAATTCTGACATATAAGATCAAAAGCTATAGTGAATTAGGTACACCATCACCTTATGATAAACAGCAGATCAAACTTATAAGAAAGGGTTTGCCCAAATCCTTCCCTAGATTTCCCAGGGCTAGTGGCTACCAAGTTTCCATTTGGAAATAAAGTCCTGATAAACATTTTGTGACGAAAAAAGAAGACCAATTATACCAGCCTGCAAAGTAGCAAGCATTCATTACCTGAATTTCTTGGTTAATTCTTCACACACTGAAATCAATATGAACAGCCTCGAGGAAAAA